CCTCAAGGGTGTGAATACCAAAAGGGGCTCATTGGGGGCCATCTTAGAAGTCTGCCTACCGCAGACAGGAGCAAGAGTTCATTGCGGCAACCAACAACAGGCTACGGTGGGTTTTTCCTTTTTTTTTTTTAATTTCTGTGTCTAATTAATGTCTTAGAATGAAGACAGTGGAACAGACAGAAGTAAAACTTGTTATAAAACATTATAAACAGGACTACCTAATGACACCATCATCTTTGAAGTTAACAAATGAAACCCCTCAAAGCTCAGAAGACATCCAGAGACTAGAAGAACTGAGTCCACGCTCTTGGGATGGGGTGGGGTAGATCACAGTAGGCTTTCTCTTGGCTGATTAGCAAAACCTCAATTCTGACATGTGTTTCTCTTTTCTCCCTCCCAAGTCCCATTACATTGACTATAAAAGAATTCCTGTTTTGCTGTAGCCATTTGGCCCAGTTTCAGTAGTAATATCTGAAATCCTTAGATTTCATGGGGTGAAGTGTAGGGAAATGAACTAAGGTAATAACTTTTGGCACTGTGATGGTTAGTTTTGTGTCAGCTTGACTAGCCTATGGTACTCAGTTATTTATTCAAACTGTGATCTAGGTGTTGCTTTGAAGGTTGTGTACACGTGACTAACATCTACAATCACCTGACTTTAACGGAGATTATCCTAGATAAGTGAGGTGGGCCTCATCCAATCAGTTGAGTGCCTTAAGAGTAAAATGTAGTTTTCCAGACAAGAAGAAATTCTGCCTTGAGACTGCAGTGTCAGCTCCTCCTGGCCTGCTCTGAGGATTTCGGGTTTTCCAGCTCCGATACCCATCTCTCACTGGAGACTGTGTGTCGCTGTGATGCTGCACAGGTTTCAGCAGAGCTTCTAGACTAAGACCAGAAAGAAAGGTCTGGTGATCTACTTCTGAAAAATCAGCCAATGGGGACCCTGTGGATCACAATGGTCTGGTCCTCATCACATCCTGGGGGTGGTGCAGGACCGGGCAGCCTTTCAGTCCTTTGGGCACAGTCACCACGAGGTGGAGGCCAGCTCTCTGGCAGCTGACCGATAAGCACATACAGCAGTTCCTTAAAATAATCTATAGATGTGACGCTGGGTAAACCTGCTGCAAAAGATTTCTTTCAAGTTTAAAAATACAAAGATGTCACCTTGATGACTAAGGTGTATTTGACCCAAGCCACAGCCTTTTCAGTTGCCTCTTATGAATGTGAAAGCTGGATAAGAAAAAAGGAAGACAGAAGAGTTACTGATGTGTTCACATGGTAGTGCTGGCAAAGAATACTGCACACACTATAGACTGCTAACAGAGCAACACATCAGTCTTGGAAGAAATACAACCAGAACACCACTTAGAAATGAGGATGGCGCGATTACTTGGGACACATCATCAGCAAAGACCAGTAGCTAAAAAAGGGTATCCTGCCTGGTAGAGGGCAAGCAGGCAGTGAAAATGAGGGAAATCCTCAATGAGATGGGCTGTCACAACAGGACAGTGGACTGACACAGCACTGATCGTGGAGGTGGCACAGGCCTGGGCCATGTTTCGTTGTTCTACATACGGTCACCGTGAGAGCCAACGCAGGGGCAACTAACAACATACATATATGCACACGTAATGTATGTACATAAACAGGTATACACGTACACACACACAGATAGATACTCAGGAACCAGGCCAGCCTTTACATGGAAGCACACAGATCTTCAGTCTAAGTTTTCTGGAAAGGTGACATGAACCCCAAAGTGAAAGGGCAGCAGTAGAACAAGAGCTGAGCTTTCCACATTTGCTGGGGTCTGACTTCATGTGAAGAGTCTCCCTGGCACTTGGGAGCCCCATTAGGGGCTCTGAGGCCCAAACGTACTCATATTTGCTCATTTCCAAAACCATTTTCTATCTTTGGCTAATTACATCAGGAACTTATTATAATGTTTAAGAGGTGGAGGGCTCTTCCTGCTAATCTAATGTTACTTAAAACACTTCAGAGGAAGGAAGAAAAAAAGGAGGACATAAGAAAGGCAAAGAAAGGCCATTCGAAACCTTAGCTAAGGACTGCAAGGAAGAAATCATCGTACTGTGCTCTTCAGCTCTGGAGTAAATTTGCGTAATGATGACAATGTAAACATTCTCGTTGCTTTTCCACTTAAACCTTTTTACGAAAAGATGGTGAAAATTTCATCATGGTTACAGAACGTAAATGTTAAAACAGCAACAATAACTATGATGATGGAAAAATGAAAGGGCAGATTATCTGCCCAAGAATGAGAAATGGAAAAGGTAAAAGAGAGCAGAAAAGATGGGTGGGAGATGTGAAAAAGAATCCAAAAGAAACCAACATTAGTTGCCTCCATGAGGGGATGAGAGTGGCTGAGGAACAAAAAAGCGCAGGAGGCCTTTCACTGCAGACCTTTGTATCTCTGAATTTTAGAAACTTTAAATTTTTAAAACGGAGGGTGTAATCAGCAATCAACTCCCAGGAGGCATTAGTGCAAGAGCAGCACTCACAAAGCGGTGAAATGCCTGTGAGGATGAGACAGACGTATGAAAGAAGCACCACAGCAGGAAACACTGTGCAGAATTTGATGAAGAAGGTCTACATGGATGGATGTGGAAAGAGTCCCCGGTATCTCACCTAATGAAACAAGCCAGATGTTCAACATGGTATGTCAAAAAATACTATACACACACACACACTTATGTGTGTACTCTAAATTGTCTGGAAAGATCATAGCAAACTGTGAACGGTGGTTACTTCTGGTGTTATGGGTGGGAGAACAATTTCCACATGTGGTACCATGTGTGGACTTTTTTCAGTCTAGTACTGCCCTGTCAAATGAAGGAGTGAATTCAGCTGAAATGCTTCAGGGAAGGGCCTTCTGAGTAGCTCTGCCTCCCAAGTAGCCCAACCAGGACAAGGGCTCATCTGTGATAATTACTTCCATGTCAAATGCATCACATCCCAGCATCATGGTCATCTGTCCCATCTCTAAACCCTCAGCTGTCAAAAAAAAAAAAAAAAGGTGGGTGGCAAGCCCCTGTGTGACTAGGAGCTCAAGATCAGGGAGTCCTCCTATCACCACGGAGGTTCTGACACCTCAGTAAATGCTTCGTGAACGTGTGACTGCCCAACACCATCCACACAAGCTGGTTCCTGAAGCCCATCCAACCCAGAGCGGCAGCAGTTCATGCTCTGCTCCCCACAGCAACTGCTCAAAGAAACACTAGCCTGGCCAGGGGAGCAGAGGGCTCCGAAAAGGTGCAGGGAGATAGCTGACCCAGGACTGAAGCTGGTGATGCCTGGATGATCTCTCAGCCGCCAACCCCTCATCTGGAGTGGCTTGGTTAATGATACATACCCCTCTCAAAACCAGCAAGTTACCGAACTTCTGCCTCTCCCAGGGCCTGGAGGACCTACTGGGCCCAGAGGCCTGGAAGGGCAGTGACTGGAGACATCCACACCAACACCACCCACACCTGCTGATTGTTTATTGCACAAGAAACTGGCAATACCGAGGTGCAGGGGCAGGCATTACAAAACCACCTGGTGACCAACCCAGTGCTACCAAAGGGCACTCCATACAGACACTGCTGTTATATACACATATGTACACACACACACAGACTCTCTGAACACCCGTGAGCCTGTTGCATGCAAACCTTGCACAGCAGCTCCCAGCCCAACCTGCGTGACATAGTGTGCTGTGTGCTGGAATGCTGCAGCGAATCAGCGAACTGAAGGGGAGGAGAAAGGCTGAGCTGAAGGAAGCTGGGCCACTCCAATCAGCGCATAAGCACGGAAGGCACCTGACTGAGCCTCTGTGCTCCCGGGGACAGGCCGAGGATCTGGGACAGTAAGCCGTTCCATAGAAGGATCGCCACAAGCAGGAGGAGGGCCTGCTGTGGGGTCCTGAACAATCAGGCGCTGTGACCCTGGGGCCCTGGCCAGGGAGTGCTGCAACCAACACCTACACCAGCATCCCGGCAGAGTAAGGCCACCTTCCAGGGTTCAGTGCATCCCAGAATGCCTGTGTCAGAGGCTGGCAGGACTCCAGAGCTCAAATCAGACGACTTACAGCGACTGTGAGCCCTTCAGCTGGTTTTCAACTCTTGGCAGACAAACACACTTGAGGCTGGCTGGGACACACTTCACTCTAAACAGAGCTTATGGGCCTGCTGGGAACTCCAGGGGCCCATCTGCCCAGTTGCTTGGGGCTGCCTGAGTGTCTTTCTCTAGCAAAGGGAATTCTTGTCTGTTGTAGGTGGCAAGGTTGGGGGGTGGCATTCATTACACTGACCCTTTTCCTCTCTGTCAGGTAACAGGCCACTGTGACACTAAACTGCCGGGCCAGGCCTGCCTGAGCCCACAGACCTGATGAGCAGCTTCCCACAGGAGCAGCTGTGTAGGAAACTCTTGGATTCAAAGGGCTACCTGGGTCCTTCAAGGTCCCAGGCACACCTTGTGTGCCAGCTCCTGACAGAAAGTGACAGCAGCACACCAAAACAAAACAAAGCAGCCCCCCACACAAAATGCTTCAAGTTTATGTAGAAAAGAAAGAAGTCAGTCGGGGGGAGTTCATTGTTTCCACCCCAGGGAGACCCAGGCAGCCTGTGCAGCCATTACTTGCTTCACACGAGCCAATTGGCCCACACTGGTGGGGAGGGCCCTCGCTGCTCTGCCTGTCTGACCGGGGAGCCCTGTGAGGAAGGGAAGCCAAGGCCCAGGGGTCACAAGACCTTCACTTTATACAGATGTCTGGAAAATTCTATCGCAAACAAAACCTTTACTGGCAAAGAACCTTGGCTTCCTCAGCCCCGACCAGCCACCCCAAGAGCCTAACCCCCTCCTGGCACAACCACCCTGTGAGACTAGGGTTCGTGCTTCAGCCCATTGGGCCGGGCACCTGCCCTTCCACACACACTCATGCCTAGGGCTGGTCTTCAGGAGAGGGTGGGAGCGCTTTGCAGACAGGGTCAGCCCTCCGGTCTTTGCAATGGATAGTGGGGCCAAGGGTGACTAGTGGGCTTTCTTCCAGACTGCCACCAGTGGGTGCATGAGGGGTGGGAAGCAGGGCCTCCTGGGGTCAGGCTCTGCTGCCACCAACATGATGACAGTGCAGTCACCATTAGAGTCACCATCCTGCGGGGCCTCCTGAGGGCTGCACGGCCAGCGGCCTCTTGGGCAGGGAGGACTCGTGACTGCAGGTGTGCTGGGGGGCAGGAGGGGCGGCCCGAGTCACTCCTGCCCGAAGCCCTCAGTCTCCTCAATGGCATACAGCAGCTTCTCTTTCAGCTGTTCGTAGCTCTTGTACGGCGGGAGGTCCAGACGGTTGAAGCTGTGGACACAGAACAGCATGGGCAGCACAGGGCTGGTCAGGGCCCTAGGAGCCCTACCCCACCATCCTCAACTCTGGCGCAATCAGAAGGGCTGGCTGGCTAGCCAGAAGGGTCAGGGCTCTAGGGGTCCAACTACGCCAGGCCTTCACACTTTAAGTTCCTGGGTCATGGAGGAGGGCCAAGGGGGCTGAGGAGGGGACAGGGCAGCTGGGGAGATGGGGTTCAGTCATGGTCCACTGCAGTGGAAGTATTTCAGTATTTAATACCTGGTATGGCTGTGAGGGTGCTTAACTGCAGCAAAGATTCCTAGCACACCAAAGGCTAAGGCAGAGATACCCCCGTACATCACAGCTCCTCTCCACCACAGAGCCACACACTCGCTTTCCAGTCGAGGCCCCACAGCTAGCCCACCACGGACTGCCCTTGGGGCTCATGTAGACTTTCAGGTTCCCGGTCCCCTCCCACAAAAAACTAGCACACTCACCACGTGTGGCTTCTGGGCAGCCAGGTTTCCTTGCCAACCTTGTCAATGCAAAACTTCTGTGGTCCATTGCTACCTGTTAACCAAAGAAACATGTACCACATGTCAACAAGAGTGTTCTCTCCTAATGCAGGGCTCTCTGGCTCCACCCACAGACAGGCTCAGCAGGGCTGTGGGGGGCACAGCTCTTCCCCCACCCTCACCAGCCTATTCTCTAGGGGGACACTAGCATGCACCCTGTTTGAGCTATCCTCATCCTCCCACACACCACCCCAGGGTGAGGGAGGGGAAGCATACCAATGAGTTCAGCAAATCCCCCAACAGGCAGGCGGCATGTTCCAGTAACAAACTGCAGCAACCGGATTCTTTTCTCATTGTCCATCTCCTTCACCACCTACAATTCGGCAAGTCACACCCTGGCAGGGGCCGCTCAAGCCCAGGCCCTTGGCCCTGACACAGCCCCTCCGAACGGCCACTGCAGCTGGAGACTGTGGTGCCCCACCCTGAGCCTGCATGCAGGTGGGGCCTCTCTCACGGTGCTGAGAACACAAAGCCCAGCTACCAACCAGAAAACTCCAAATTCACTTCCTCTAAGATGTTGTTTTATAGGTCAGTTACACTTGTCCACAGGACAGCTCTTTATCTCAGGGACGCCTCAGGCCAGAAAATCTCTTCCCATCTAAGTTCTGATTTGAAAAATACACTAAGGACAAGAGCGACTGCTTAGCAGTTGTTAGCTGCTGTTGAGTTGGCTCCCGGCCACCCCATGCGCCGTGGAACGAACGCTGACCCAGACCGCGCCCTCACGCCTGGCTGTGGACGAGGCTGCTGTGATCCACAGGGTTTGAAATGGCTGACTTTTGGGAATGGATCTCCAGGCCTTTCTTCCTACTGTCTCCATCTGAAAACTACGCTGAAGCTTATTCCACATCAGAGCAACACCAAGCCACGGCTGACAGGCAGGTGGTGGCCACATGAAATGTGCTGGCTGGGAATCAACCAAGTCTCCTGCACGAGAGGCAGCAATTTACCACTGGACCACCAACACACCCGCTTAACGCGAGGAGGGATTCTTCGTGGGGAGATGAGTTAGAGTTACAGAGTGGTAATAGTTGTGTAACACTGTGAATGTATTCAAAGTCACTGAAATGCACACCTTGAAATTAACACAGTGAATTTTACGTGATGTGAATGTTGCCTCAACATCACCACAACCAAAAAATATACGACCATGAAGGATATCTGTGCTAGGGTTATCCTGTCTCGTGTGCTGCACATACTTCACAGCAACAAAACTACACACACAACAGAATTAGTTCACTACACCCACAGTGCTGAGCTCCTTCCATTGTTCCGGAGCCAGGCAGAAACTCAGCCATCCCACCTGGAAGGCAATCGTTTGGCTGATGGGAGCATTACTTCCTGCCTTTCTGGTGCTAGCCCCTTCCCCACCCCGTGCACCCCCAGAGGTTAGAGCCAGTCCAGGGCTGGCCACAATCCAGCTGCAGCAGACTCCGTTCTTTCTAAGGTTCAGTTTATCATCACCTTTTGCAAGTTGGAAGGAGTCCTGGTGGTGCAGGGATTAAGACCTGGCTGCTAACCAGAATGCCAGTGGATTTAATCTACCAGCTACTCCACGGAAGAAAGATGAGGCCGTCTATTTCTGTAAAGATGTACAGCCTTGGAAACCCCACGGGGGCAGTTCTACTCTGTCCTGTAGGGTTACTATGAGTTGGAATCCACTTGATGGCCATGAGTTTTTGCAAGTTAGGGGAGGCAAGTAGAGTATGAGAGGCAGGGAAGTGACAGCACAAGGCACCTTGAGGCTGAGGCCTCACTTTCTCTGGCCACTGCTCTAAAACGTCGCTGCTGAAACCTCTGCCCCAACCCCAGCAGGAATGTGCCCCACACCCACCTGCCAGAACCACTGGATCTGCTTGCTGTTCTTGGTGTAGTGCCGGTAGATGGTGTTCTTCTGCCAGTCACTCATGTCTATCTCCTGCATGCCGCACAGCATCAGCTACGAGGGGAGGCACGTGAGCAACGCGGCACCAGGCCTCCGCCACCGAGGAGGGCCTCGGCCCAGACCCAGACCTCAGCCCTCCCCTCAACTAGCAAACGAAACAGTCCCAAACATTTTCAACTACTGTTGCCAGAAAGTAGTAATGCTATGGATAAAACAAGTCCTCGCTTGCTTGAACACAGACCCCCCCTTCAAACCAAGGGACCTGGGAGGGGTGGGTGCTGATGACCCAGATTCAAACTATCTGCCCTGCTGCCTTTGGTTCTGATCAAGTTTGGGAGTTAACCAGTGAGCTTCTCTGGGTACACACTGAAGACATCAAGGAGATCATCCCCAAGTAGGGGTCAACCCCTAACCAGCTTGGACACTCACCTCCAGCTCTTTCTCATCAAAGTAGCGTAACCACTCCAGGGGGGCCACCTCATTGAAGCCATCCAGGAAGGCTTTGGTCTGCTCTTCCACACCTCGGGTGAAGCGCCAGTCAGTCAGCAGCCTAAAACCAAAGACCAGCCATCGGTGGGACTTACTACCTGACTGCGTGTCTATTTTCACAGGGGCGATGAATCAGCGAAGAGTCAATTTCCGGTACATTTAGATCCAGATGTACAACCTTTAGAACCTTACAGTAATCCACAGATGAAGGGATAAGTGGGATGTGGTATGTCCATACATACAGTGGAATACTGCTCAGTCACAATAAGAAACAAAGTGCAGTTGTGTGCCACGACATGGATGAATGCTGCAAACATCATGCTGAGTGAAAGGACAAATATTGTATGATCTCACTAACATGAAGTAAGTAAATATACAGAACCCAGGGTTTGCTGGTAATGGGAAGGAAGGGATAAGGGGGAGTCTCTGCTTAGGGGACACTGAGTTTATGGTGGTTGTTACTGTTGTTGTTATGTGCCGCTGAGTAGGACCCGACTCATAGCTACCCCTCCCTGGGCTTTGAGGTGGTATCACTACAGAAGTAGATTGTCCAACCTTTCTTCCAAGGAGTGGCTGGTGGGTTTGAACTGCCAGCCTTCTGTTTAGCAGTCAAGTGCCTTAGGCACTACACTACCAGAGCTCCTTATGAGTTTATGGTAATGGTGGTGAAATGATTTGGAAAAAGACAGTGAGAATGGTTATACAACTAAAGAATGTAATCAAATTTCTGAGTTCTATATATAGAAACTGTTGGGCTGGTGTGTGTTTTGTTATATATATATTTCACAATAAAATTAAAACCAAACTCACAGTAGTCTGGAGACACCTGAGTCTTTGAAATCAATATCTGCACCATCCCCACTACCACCACCATCCACTTCCACCTCCACTGCCGCCATCCACCCCCTCCACCGCTGCCATCTCTTCTACTACTGCCATCACTGACTGAACTTCAGAGATCTGTGCAAGTGTGAGGATTGAAAGGCTAGACTAAGAGACCTGAAGTATGTGCATGAGAGAAACTGTACACATGAGACACACAGGACACAAAAATCTTCTCAGTTTACTTAGGAGAAAGAAGGTAGAGACATCTAAGTTTTATGCTTCTTCAGAGAAATTCAACTGGCAGTCTTGAATTCTACCCAGTGGAAATGATGGTTGAACCAGAGCAACCAGGAGCTAGTAAGAAAGCTCCCTGGGTTGTCCAACCCTCATAGTCACGTGGCTGGCCACTGACAGCTACACACGGCAGAAACAAAAATAGGAGGTGCTTGCTGTCCCTCTGGGCAACATGTGGGGGGCTGGCTGAAGAGGATCCCTCAGCCACAGAGTAGGAAACCCTTTCTCGGTGACCCACTATGTCTCACAGTACTTCCCCAGCCCTGCCTCTGGTACTGTACTCCCCCACCCTTGAGACTTACATGATATACTCTTCCTTGTTCTCCTCTGTGACTCGGATACTCTCACCCCCTTCCTTCAGTTCATGGGTTGTCACCTTGCCCAGGATCTCCATGTCCTGGATGAAGTACAGCTCCAGACCACATTCTTCCAGGTTGTTTTCTCTGAGGGCAGCAGAGACCAAGAGGGGTGATTTCTATCTTAGAAGATATCTTCCCTAAATCCTATGCCATCACTCACTTTTTGTGCCCATGAAACACCCAAGAGCTCTCAGGTGGCCTAGAATCCTGAGCAATGGCACAGGATGTCTTCCTGATATGAGGAGAGAATTCCAGAGTTGGCCTGTAAGGAAACCTAGAAGGTGCTCATCCACAAGCATTTATCAAGGCTGGGTAAGAGAACAATAGTCTACTCTGACAGAGACAAGAAAGGCCACTGGTGCCTACTCCCCAACGAGACTTTCCTCTCAACTACTGGGCACAGAAAGCCACTCACTTGATCCAGACAATGGAGTTGTAGAATTCAGGATCGATGGACTCCAGGTCTTTCAGGGTTGGTCTCTTGTTGAGCATCCGTTTATAGAAAGGGAGGGTGAAGCCAGTGTCAATGAACTTTCCATGGTACAGAGCCTGAAGAAGGAAGAGACATGGCAGACTTTGTCCCTCCCAGGACACTATCCAATGCAGACTCTTGGATGCTCTTAATCCAGGCCCTATGACTGTGATAGGACCTGAGCATCTGGATACTTCAGGGGCCCACAGGGAAGTAAGCACCACTCTTTTTCCTGACTTGGACCCTAAATGGACTCATCCTACCATTCAGACCAAGGGACTGAGCAGAGCCCACCTGCTTAAGAAGCATCTCCATCTGCTGCCTGCCCAGCACACCTCTAGGCTGGTCTGTTGAGTGGAGAGCTGCCCTGTGCTCACAGGGGACATTTGTTCAAACAGCTCCAGGTGGCAGCCCTGACTCACTGGCTCTCAGAGCTGGAGGCACAGGCAGCCAAAAATAATGCAGACACCATAGACAGTGAGAGCTGGCGAGCCAGCGATGAGTAATAGTCTAGGGTTTTACTGGTCCGTCCTATCAGCTGCTGGGCCGGGCGGGTCTCTGGACCTGGGAAGAATGTACCCACTTCCTGAGCCCAGAAGCCTGGCCAAGAACTTCCAGACGATGGGGAAAGGACATATTTAGTCATGGGCTCTTGGGGCCCTCGGGTTCCTCAGAGGGGAGCAGGGCTGAGCACTCAGCAAGTCACAGGAAGAAGCAAAGGAAAGTTAGCACTGAAGAAGTTCAAACTACCATATATGACAGCTGGACTGTTGGGCTGCCATGGGCTCACTCTTGTCCATCCCAGTTCTCCACATAAAAGGCACTCCACGCTGATGCACGTAATGTGAGCCCCAGCCTTTTCCATATCCACACAGTCTCCCCTTTCTAGTAAATACAGATACTGCAACTCCCTTCCCCACCCCACACCTAACTTCTGACGGATGCCTCCTACACCCGGCACCAGCCAGTTTACTAGGGCTCTGTTCTAAGCTAGTGCTGTTTCCAAATCCCCTTCCAGAGGGCCTTAGTGTCTTAATCAAACGTTCCTAAGCACGCCCACCAGTAAGCTCATGACAGATGGTGGCACTCCCCAGACAGGCAGCAAGTCTGTGGTTACGGTTTCACTTGGTCCCATCATCTAATGCCCTGAATAGGATGCACATTTACTGTTAAGTCCTATTTTCCAGGAACCCTTGACAAATCCTACGAAATCAACACACAAAGCCCCCCTCTCAACACCCCTGGGTAGCCACTGAGAAAGCGCTGTCTTCTCAGAAGTCTTCCTAGCCTTCTATATTTTTACAGTTGGGAGTTCTCTGAGGACGAGGTGAGCATCCGAGTGATAGGGGCGGTTGCTGTGCTGCCATTGGCTGCTCAGTGTCCAGGGCCTGGCTTCCTCAACTGAGACCTTGCTGGAAATCTCAGAGGAGATATGGGTTCCTGACTCCCCCATGTACACTTCACCAGGGGAGAAGTGATGAAGGAAGCCCTGGGATTAGGAGGGCACCAGTCCTCTTACCATGGCGATGAATCTGCCAATGAAGCGGAAGTAGGTGAGGTGGTCGGGGTTGATGGAGGATGCAGGGTTGATCTGTAGACAGTAATTGTTCTTGCCGGCATATTCAAACAAACAGTACATGGGGTTGAGCACCTCGTGGGACAGGAGGAAGAACCACTCTCTGCGAGGGAAGAGAGAAAAAACAGGAATAATGGACCCTTCCCTGCACCCCTGCACAGGAGCTGTGACTCTCCTCTGCCTGTTTCTCAGGTAGCCCGGAGACACATGACCTCGGGAGTCATGCCCCACCAGGATCAGCAGCTGGGTTGACTGTATGCACAGGTAGTCAGTGAACAGGGCGGGGTCAGATCTAGGGTGAACCAGAACAATGGTACATGAGAATGATGCTCAGGGAGACCTGTGTGTGTGCTGCTCCCAGATGGTGCCGTCCAAGAGTTTACAGGACAATGTCCTGAGCTTCTAATGGCAAAGCAGCTCCTTGTACCCTACCATGCCCTGCTGTGTAGGCTGTACACTGCACAAGGCCCTACATAGAAGTATCTCAGACTGGCACATTTATTACAGCAATTTTCCTGCAAATGGTAATCTTTTCCTGGTAAACTCAGGATATCATGACCACTTTCCAACAGATGACAGTGTCCTTGGGGAGGGGCACCAAGGTGCTAATCCTGAACTTTGCAAAGGTCCTCCATGAGCAGCGGCCACCCTGCTTCCCCTGTGCCTGAGCAGGCAGCGTCATGTGGACACACGAGGACACGTTCCCTACTCCTGGTCTGGAGACTCTGAACGCCACGCTGCTTCTAGGCGGTAAACCTCTGTCCCACCAGCTCTACCCCAGCGGTCACTCCCTTCACACCCAAGGCCCTTGCACGCCCCTCCCCTCGGTGCCGTTCCTCCATGCATGCATCGGAACCACACCCACGCCTTAGCACTATGTGCACCCTAGGGACAAGCCTCAGGGCTTGAGCCAAACCAGCAGGAGGACGTCCCCAGGGGACCAGTCCCTGCTGCTGGGCTGTCTGTGGCCGGGCAGACGAGGAGTCCTTCGATGCAGAGGGTGCCCCGGTATCCTGTCCGTGGTTCTACCCTGTGGTAGAACAGCATGACGTAACCTACCATAGGGTAAAACCACTGGCAGGACACAGAGAGAGAGACACACACAGAGGGCGGGAGCCACACCAGAAGCCCACAAGCAGAGCCTGGAGAGAAGGTCACCACGGAGAAAAAGAAAAATCAATCCACGGGGGCAACACAACCAGCAGACAGAGAACCAGAGCCAGTTTACCCGGCACCAAGCGAGAAGCCATCCCCACACCGTGAGAAGTCAGCGGACTGAGAGTCACCGCCGGCCCAGATGCTGCTCCTCTCTGCCAGGGCCCTTCTGCCCCATTGTCCAAGGCAGCATGTTTTCAGTCTGTGCACTCTTACAGGTGGACTGAAGCGAGGCCAAGACAGTGCTTTTGGGCTCCTTTTATGATTATGTTTTCACTTTACTGACCATGTGCATACGACATGCAGCCTAGTACTGACCAAGGCCTTTAAACTGTCACATAGCTTATACATGTCAGGTACATGCTGTGCCATGCTGACTTCATGTGCCCAGCTGCCTCGAGAAACCCGAGGTCGACTTTACTGGACAACCACACAGCACTGACAGCCAGCCCCTGCATCCCGGGCAGCTGCACTGCTGCTGAAGTACACAGACGGTCACATGTGGGTTGATAAAGAGCCTTGGCCCTGAGCCCCTCCCTCAGGGATCCCCAGAGTCACCATGATCAGGTCAGTTAAGCCTCACCCAGCAGGGGCCCTGCTCCAGCACCCATTCTGACGATCCATACAGACTGTCGGTGTTTTAGATGCCACTGCAATGCCTGGTCTCAAGGTGCAGGGGCAGCGGGAGAACCCTGACAACGAATCTGAGTGAGGAGGGGCTGCTGTCTGGCCATGGGCCCCACCGCCAGGGGCAGAGGGGGCAGCACGCCCTGCGAGGGCGCCTGCGCTCACCTGGCGATGCCTCCGTAGTCCAGGCCTTCCTCGCCACGCATGATGATGTACAGCCGGCGGCGCAGGTCATAGGGTTTCATGTTCATGATCTGGGGAGACAGAGTCTCATGGGTGGCCTGGCACCCACATTCCCACAGCAGGCTCCATCAGGGGGCGGGAAGGGACGGGGGACAACAGGGCGTCTCGAGGCCCTAAGGCCTACCGTCCAGCAGAGACACCAAGGCCCAGGCTTAGGAAACTCTGCCTGTGAGTTTAACAGGCCACATCACAGAAGATGGGGTGGTAGAAGGAGGGCTTTTCATTCCTCTCTTACCTGCTGGAAAGAATCCTCAAAAAGAGTCTGCCTGGAGACACTGATCTTCACATGGCTGGGCAGAGCATTTGACTGAAAAGGATAAACAAAACGCCTCAAAGCAGGGCTTCAGTGATAATCACTCCATTTGGCCTCCTGTCCGAACAACAGGCATCACCAGCTCCTTTGTCTGTAGAGCGAGAGCTGGCACCCCAGGGACAGAGGCAGCTTCCTTAAGCCCTGCCTTCTCTTAAAAATAGACTGAGACCACCTTGGACAAGAGCTCAGGATCAGAAGAATGACGGGCCTTCACCTACACCTGACGTCCCGGTCCCTGCTACTGGATCGTGCTGTAACAACTCACGAACCCCACCTGCCGCGGAGGGCCCCGCAACCAGAACTCACATGGCAGAGGAAGCGGAACTGGTGATACTTCCACCGAAAACTTCGGTCGTAGGCACCAGGGGAGCCCTGCTTCGTCCTGGAAAGAGCAGAAATGTTCTGGAATCACGTGCTGCCTCAAAAACTAGTGGTTTCTTGTTGTGAGCCCTATGGAAAGCTGATGCTGTGTCAACTTGAAGACGAGTGCATCAGAGAAGGGCAGTGACTGCCATTAACATCCTCTGCAGATCTGAAGGGTGAAAGCAAACACTAGAAATAAACGCAGCCCTGGTGCTTTCTGAGAAATAACGCGAGTGCTGCTCTGAACCAACAGGACTGCACCCTCCTCTCCAATCCCATTACCGTGGCCTCGTATTTGGTCACCAGAGGGCAGTGAGGAGCTGCAGCAGACACAGGCAAGCCACCCCAAAGCCTGCACCACCAGCCTGTGGCCCTGGAACACACGGCGCAGAAGTAGCTGTGCTGACAGACACCGATGTCGCCCAGGGAAGGCCCTTACCCAGATTCAAACCCTGGACGAGGATCCTTAAAGGTGGTGGTACGTGTGTTGTGGTCCACGAAGTATCGCACCCCCTCACTGGTGTATTTCATCTCCCACCCTGGGGGCAGAGCTGGCTCCTGGATCATCCTGGAAGCACAGGAGGGGGAGGGGTTAAGGACCAGGAGGCCAGGTCCTCAGTGCCCTGCACGCACAGGGCCAGGTTCAGCGGGGCCCATGCGCTGGCACAACTCAGGTCATGAGGACATTTCTGCAGCCCACAAGTCACTTATTATCCCAAGGCCAAAGAACCAGCCCTGCTGGATGGCACTGGCCTGCATGACCATCAGCAACACTGCGACACCAAGTACCCACACCGTGTCTCAGGGGTAGAGGAGCCCTCAAATTTGGGGGCTCAAATGATGGGCAGCCTGAACAATGAGTACAGAGACTAGGGCCACCCTCTGTGTCGATTTAAGGAGCAGTTTTCAAGCTCTCCTTGGGTCCACATTATCATGAGTGTCTCGGGCACTTGTGTGTGGCTAACAGGCCACTCCTAGCCCTCCCTGCAACCCAGGTCCTCACCCCTGGGTCCGAGGGTCCTCCCACTGGGTAGTGCGGGTGTTATGGTTCACGTAATACACTCGTCCATTGTCCTGCCTCTTCTCTGCCAGGGGAAGGGGAAGAAAGGAAAACAGTTAGACACAACCACAGGTAGCACGTGTCCTCGCCCCGCCGGTCCCCACCTCCTGGAAGCGGGCTCTGAATTTCTGCCCCAGACCCGGCCTGTGAGGGAAGTCTGACCGTCAAGTGCCTGGCTCACTTGTATTTATCACTGGGAAAAAGAACAACGTGAACCTTTCCCTGCCAGGGGTGGAAGAGAGATGTAGACGCATTTTCAGCTCAAGAACAAGTCCTGTCTTTGGTTGGTTTGCCAGCTGGAGGGAAAGGGGTGGTGCGGCCAACCGGAGGGGGAACAGCAGGCTGCAACCAGGGGAGTAATTGCATCCAGCTGTGTGCAAACGGGATGCTCACCCGCCTCCCGTGGCTTCCGCAGCCCCCCCGTGGCCCCTACCCCGGCTGTCCCGGCTGGTTTCGGGCACTGCTCTGTCCACTAGATACAGCACACCCAGGCATCTCTGTCCCCTAAAGGAGGACCCTTACACTTCATACCTCTGTGATCAGTGCTCTGTGGAGCCTCTCCGTTATCTCTCTTTTCCTGCTTGAAGGCTGTGTTGTTCCCAAACCCTCACATCCCAGTGCATCCTCTGTGCAGCACGTGTGCAAATAAACTGCTGCGGACACAGACGATCACCACCTTGCTCTCACACTTAAGTGTGTGCTTCGGAGACGGGAGTGTTGGGGGCCCAAATATACTCTGTCTCCTCTGGACACTTCATTCTTGTGCCCTTTGCTGGGTCACTGGCAATGGCTCTGGGGTTATTAAGAGGGAAGCTGGCCTCCAGGGATAGTTCTGACTCTAACGGGTGACTCTGTACCTTGAGAAGGGTTGGAAAGGGCAGCTCACCAGCTCCAGGTGGATGGGAGGCAAAATTAGGGGCAGGGCCCTGAACCCCAAAAGGGTTACTTCCCAGAAGTTCCTGAGCCTTCAAATTTGTTTCTGAGCTGAGAACAAACGATGCTAATGGCTCGTGGTCTTTTACAAAGACAGGGCGAAACTGAAGAAAGAGGAGGAATCGGTTCCAGGAGCTATGAGGAAACCACAAGTTGAATAGAGAGAACTGGGGTGACCAATTCCTCCCCTCAGGATTCAGGCTGCAGCGTTCCAAGACCGCAGTCCTGGTCTCCCTCCGACTCCCTGCTTTACCTGGAAGCCATTATTGACTGACATTTTGGAAACACAGACAAAACTAAAGGAGGTGGCTGGGTACTGTTACAGAGCCACGACCACCTCCAAATGGCTGTGTGACTGTCCACAGAAGGAAGGTCTTCCAAAAGGTTTCTGAGGGCAGCAGAGGCCGCTCCCAGCCCAGAATCTAGTGCGTTGAACTAGATCATCCATGTTGGCTCTACCAAGGGCCAAACCAAAGCCACCAGGCTGGGGGCGGGGTTGGTCTGTCCTGCCGCTCTGAGGCCTGTACCCTCATTTCTGGCACTGCCTGCTGTTTGGGGGCCTCTGGCAGCTAAGTGGAACAGCCCCACTGTATACAATTCCACAGTTTGCGGGTCGGGGACATCCTTCAATGAGCTGCTAGCACAACTTCATTTCAGGAAGAAACAGGCCTGAGAAGATTCCGTCCCGTGCCCAGGCCATGGCTGCTGAGCAGCAGCACGGATCTAAGCTGGGCTCCCGACTCCCAGGCCAGTCACGCAGAGAATGCTGCAGGCTTTCTCCAAGAAGAGAGGGAGGCCGGAGCCACGAGGGGGATAAATGCAATTCACATTTGGTATTCCTGCTCCTTCCGTTCATTCTTAACACCCAGGAGAGGAGCCGCTGCACAGCCTTGCGGGGGGGGGGGGGCACACGAAAGGACTTGTGATTAAGAGGGTTCTCTGCCCACCGCCAGCTTGCTCTTCTCCAGTTTCCTACCCTAACGGTCTGGTGTGTGTGTAAGTCTCACAACTGCCCTCAACAGGTGAGCATAATTTAACAGAACTGGTTCAGAAACAAACTTCCTTGGCTGGGCTACACCGCCTGCCTCCACAGAGCCAGAAAGAACCCCCAGGTCCCCAGCCCTAAATCAGAGTGTCTGCCGGCTGGGAAGCAGCATTGCAGATTCCTGTTTCATCAGATTAGTCTCCCTACCTGGGGAGGAACCTGAAGGGTCGAAGCCTCTCGCATTTGCATTCCTGCCAGTATCTGAATTACCAACGACCTGTCGTCAGTTCAGGGAGCAGACAGGTCCACTGTGTGCATAAGATGTTCCCTAGCTAAAAATCAAGATATGTGTGGAAGCTTCCCCACCAGACCGAATAAAAGGCACCCGTTTTTAGCTGTGGAATGCAGGGTAATTCACTAAGTGATCCCCTGCAGGTCCAAGGGAGTTGATACAACATCTTAAATGTTGACCGGGGAGTAGCTGGTTCTGCACTGCGAGGAGCCAGCTGTTCCCGGCTTATGCTGTCACTGTTAGCTCCCAAGCGCACGCTTCTCCATCCTTGTTGGTGAGTGCATCCCCTCCCGGTTTCGCACCATCTGTGACCACCAAACCAGCAGTTACTGTCCTCTGCTGGCCTAACAAAGCAATCACCCCGCACACGCTGACTCCAGGAAAGCTGCCCTCTGCAGCGTAGGGCCTTTCACAGAACCGGCCGAAGCCCTGCCCAGCTGAGAGCTGCAGGAGGCCCAAGTCTCACCATCTCTAATGACCCCTTTGGGCATGGCCCTCCTCCTAGAACAGCCAGACAGCCCAGGATCTCGTCCAAGCCCTGCATGTGCATCCCCCTAACTCATTACTGACAAACCCCAGCAAGACGGGAAAAGGCAAGCGGCTGCTACCAGCAGCAAGAATCCAGTGAACCACCAGCAGGCCATCATCAACTGGCAATGATGCCCTTCACAGTCACCGGCTGGCACACCCAACACTCTTATCTGCTTCACTGTGGCCTCTGTCACAGCTATGGCACAATTAAAAACGTGGCTTCCATTAGCCAAAATTAGGCCGAAGTCTCCCGCCATCTCAGCTGCAAACAAAGGTTTGTTAAGGTGGTTCCTTCCCATCTTACAGCCACAGACCTGCAACAAATCCAGGTGGGAATCAGACAAGGTTAAAATGTCTTCACTGGTGTTAGGACAGTGCCTTGAAGATGACACTTTGACACTTCCTTCATGGGGTCACATTCCTTCAGCTGTGGTAGCAGAATGCGGCAGGGCACAGGACAGCTCAATTCCTTTCCCAACCTCCTAGTGCCATCACCTGTAACTGCTGGCTGGGCGGCCCCAGAGACGGTGTGGGAGTACCCAAGTGGGAGACCCAGCGAAGGAGAGAGGAAGATGTGTGGGAGAGAAGGGCAGAGCGAGCGGCGCCTTGGCCCGAAGCGGGGGCAGCACTTACCCCAGCCGGGAGGGAGGGGGCCCAGTGGATCATGGTCGGCCGAAGCGCTCGAAGACTAAACGAGAAACACAGCAGAACACAGAGTTTACAAAAAAAAAAAAAAAAAAAAAAAAAAGTCGCTGGTTAAAAATAAATTAATAATTAGAAGTAAAAACGCCCAAGGCTCATTTCCACGTTCTAGCACTTTGTAGAGGGCACAGTGGGCCTTAGTGACATCTGTGGCTCTCAAAAGTCTTCAAAAAAAAAAAAAAAAGAAAGAAAGAAAGAAACAAACAAACAATAATAATGATAATAAAAAAGCCCCTGCACCCCACGGCCCAGCTAGGTCTTGGAGAGGGTGGAGTTGGGGGAGGAAGAGGTGCGCAGATGAAAGTGGGCCAGGGCTGCAGGGGCAGGCAGCCTGCGAGGCAGGGCCAGAAGCTCCCAGCCGGACTTCCCAGCAGGCTCAGCCGCCTCTGCGCAGCTCCTGCTCCAGGCGGCCAAGGCGACTGAAATCACCACCACCTCCAACTTTCTCCAAGAACCACACACAGGAGGGGAAAAAATATCGCAGGCCTTTCCAATGAAATCATTCCCACAAGCCCTGCCCACGCCCAGAGCTTCCTGGCTGGGGCCTGGCCTTCCTCCCTCCACCTCCGCGTCCAGCCCCCACCTCCCTTCTCGGTGAGCTGGGAGAGGGAGCGAGCCGGGCTGTGCGGCACCGGCCCAGACTGAGAGGGCATTCATGCCCCTCACCCACGGCCGCTCCCCCAGCCCCTCACCTCCCCCAGGAATGTTTGCCTTCCCCTCACAAAGCACCTTTCTTCTGCCCCTGCCTGAACCTGAAGCTGCTCAGTGTTCTGTGTTTGCCTTACTGGAAGCCTGGGGAGGTGGGGCTGGGGCGGCGAGCAAGAGAGAGGGGGAGACAGGAGAAGGGAGGAGGAAGGGACTGCAGGCCTTCAGGGTCACTGTTTACATTAGAACACCCCCACCCTGCCTAATTCTGCTCTGAGGTCCCCAGGGGGATGCTGCCGTGGACCAGAGACTTTTCATATCCTGCAGGGAAGGGTGTGCTGTCAAAAACTTCTCACGGTTAAACAAAACAAGTATTGTTCCACTCTTTCCTTCTCCCTCTTCTCTTTTTTGAAGCAGTTTTATTTCACTTACTAAAATTTAATCGTCATTTTAGGGGATCAAGTTCTAAATGCAGACTTCAGGCTGCCTGGCTGGCCCCGTCTGGGGGTGACGGAGCCACACACGGGCTGAAGGATGAATGGAACTCAGTCTGGCCTTGAGAAAACACTGGCAGAACTCAAGTGCCCAGGAACCCCTTCTCTCACCCTCCCTCCACCCCGGCTGAAGGGGCACAGGAACTTTCTTTCCAAGGTGGCAACACAGGCTGCTCTTCCAAGCACGTTCCAACAAAGACGTTTAAGTTTTGAACCACTGGTTCCTTGATAGGACAGAGCCCCCTTTCAGCAAAGGACCTCCTACCCACGCAGAATGAAACTGCCCCGAGGTGGGGCAAGCTGGCCTGGTCCTTGGTCAAGGACACACTATCGCCAGCCTCCAAGACATGCTTCAGCTCTCACACCACAGTTCAGGTTTGTCTGCTCATCACTGACCGAGATCTCCCCAGTTCACAGGATCCGTTTTGGCGGGGGGACAGGATCCCATCAAATCTAAGTGCCTCCGACTTTATTCTGTCATCAATTCATAAGAACAGTGGCTATGAAACACTGGGCAAGAGACGGAAAGTAACTACAGATGTGCAGGCACAACTAATCCAGATAACGAAGCCACAAAGAATGCAGCGGGTAGGTGTTGTATGACAGCCGTGGCCTGGCAGAAGGGAGGAACTACAGAGAAGGTCCTTCCAGGCAGCAGAAGCAGCAGCACCATTTGGTGCAAAGTTGCGTGCGCATCAGATCTCTGCTGAGAAAGGGTACAAGACCTCCCACGAAGCCTTCAGGGGCTCTGAACACAAAGCAGCACAGGGGGCTTCAGTGGCTTACCATCATCTTATGGTTAACTTTACACATAGACAGAACAAGAAGTCTTTCTTGACAGGTTCCATGGCCAACATGGAACTGGGAACTAAAAAATATTTATCAGGATTTTCTTAATCCTTGCCTTTTATCAATATCCCAAACTTCATGCATGCTGCCTATACTGGATTAAAGGAGTTCCTGGTGATGGAACAGTTTAAGTGCTTAGCTGCTAACCAAAAAGTTGGCAGTTTGAACCCACCAGCAGCTCCACGGGTGTTTTACAAACACCTGGCAATCTGCTCCCATAAAGATTACAGCTAAGAAAACCCCACAGAGCAGTTCTCTTATCACATGGGGCCGCTCCGAGTCAAAAATCAACAAGACGGGACTCCATCTGGCTATGGACATGCTGTGGACATGCTGATGGCTTCCCTCGTCCTGGGTGACTGTCTTTGTTTTGTCTTTGTCCTGTCCAAGGCTTAATAAAAGTGTCTCTATTTGGCGGGAAAAAAATTAACATGATAGCACCTAACAACATTTTTTGTTAAAGTGTTTTTTTTTCCTTTTAAATTTCTTTAGTAACCTCCCATTCCCATCCTATCAGATCCCTGCCCCATAAACCAATAAGAAGGGGAGAGAAGAGGAGGCAGGCAGACAAGGGAGAGACTGAGGAACACCAGCCACCCAGGCAGTCGCAATCAGTGGAAGGTGACAACCCTAATGATTTCACTTCTTAGAGTTCAAATCAAAGGACTTGACTGTATTTTGGGTATTTCTTCTGAAATGTACATAGTACAATTTGAAAAATAAGAAAAGACAGCCAAAAGGAAGGAAGTGAACAGAAGCCAAGGAGAAAGAAAAAATAAGACCTACACATCACAGTCAAAAACCAAACCCCAAAAACCTCACACCTCTAATGAGCCAATCCAACGCCCCTTCTTCTCTTCTACCTCACAAACCAATAACCAAACCCACTGCCATTGAGTCGATTCCAACTCATAGCAACCGTATAGGACAGAGTAGAACTACCCCATAGGGTTTTCCAGGCTGTAAATCTTTATGGAAGCAGACTGCCTCATCTTTCTCCCACAGAGTGGCTGGTAGGTTTGAACCACTGACCTTTTGGTTAGCAGCTGAATGCCTGAACCACTATGCCACTCGAGTTCCTTTTTTCTAAACCTCACTCGCCCAAACGTTACACACAGTGCAGAAGGAGACGACAACAGAAAAGCAATCATGGGACGTAGGGGGGGCTCCGAGAGACAAGATAGCTTCCTGGGAACAAGAATGCTGTTGAACGATTTTCCCCGGTAACAGGCCCTGGGTTGGGAGATGTGGGGTGTAGGCCAAGAGCCACGTGAAAAAGCTCACGTGAGTTCAAGTCCCTCAGGGACTAAGCACAAAGTTCTAGTCATATTTTAAGATACATGCTCAGCAATAAAGAATGTCTAGCAAATCCAGCCGAGGGCAAGAAAGGCTCTAGGAAGGCCAGGAAGGTTGTAGGGTGGAAGAGAGGCTGCTCTGTGAAGGATGAACCCACAGATGCAGAACAAAACCCAGGTGCCTGAGAATTCACCCCAAGCTGCACAATGAAAGATAAGTTGTCTCCGCATGGTGTGATTCGGATTCCAAAAGTTAGAAGCCATCAGGTGACTGGCTACCTCCTCTTGTTATTAGCGGAAGAAGAAAGGGATGGGCAAGAAGGAAGGGGTGCCACAGACATATCAGCAGTGTGGTGGGTCCTGTCACAACAGTACAAAGCCCTCAAAAGTGCCAGCCACCCTCAAGGGAGCACAGCAAGAATGCACAACAGACCAAGAAGGAAAGCATGGAGGAAGCCCCACCACCAGTGAGCCCGAAGATCGCAGGCAATGGAAGCAGGAAAAGAAAATGCAACAGAAATAAGGGGAACGGTGACTTGGCGAAACTGAGAAGGTACGCACTGAAGCAGACACCAGAAAGGAACTGTGAGAGACACTGCCATCTGGGATCCCGTGGGGTCCATTTTGAACTGGATTCTGTGTTCTCTGCTGGGCAGCAAAGAAGAACGAGGTCTCAGTTAAGCCAGAGGAGGACGGGAAGTTGCTACCATAGTCTCAGCTCTTAAGTCTTCCGAGTCAAAGCCTGGGCCAAAGCCAAACCCCAAAATAGCTATATGAAAGCAACCCTTCTTACTTGTTACCAGGACATGGCACCACAGCAAACAGGAGGAGAAAACCAAATCGAGGGGGGAGGAAAAATCAACAGAGAGACGTTAAGAACAGACCAAAAAAAGATTCCTACCACATTTTTCAATATGAGTCTTGTTTTCCCGAGAAAAGGTAACCCTCACCTCCACCCAGAACCCTCTTAAATCCCCAGCCGAGCTGAGAGGACCATCTTAGAGTTCTCAGAAAGGAATTTATTTAGTGTTTCATTTTCATTTCCAGGGATGCTACGAGTCAATGTTCAAGGCCAGGAATGATGTGGCTAAGATGACAGTGACAGGCGAGAGGACGAACGCTCCAAAGAGACCAAGCAGACAGAAGTTCCAGAACCCTGCAATCTTCTCTTTTGCAAATCAAATATTCTAGTCAACCTACAACCTACCTGGCACATGGTCGGGAAGGGAAAAAAAAATCTCTTAGTGGCTTTATTTCATTAGAGAAGGTGGTTAAGTAAGGAGATGAAGCCAAGTGAAACTTCTAAAATATGTCCTTGCCTCTAAGTCAAGGACAGATCAAGGAAGATATCCCATGTCCCAGAGCTTCCCAGTTTCACAACCATAACCACTCATGAAAATAGCAGACCAAGTTTTCAGGACCCAGCTCAAAAGGAGCCACCTCTGAAATGCAGAGAATGGTCATACTCCAGCCACTTTCTAAAGATGTCAGAACAAGATGCCAGGTATCCTGTGACAAGAGCTGTAAGTGGGAAGCCTGGCACACAGTCACACACAGCACTGCCCTCCTAGGGCCACCAGGGCCTGGGTTGTAGACAGGCATTGTAGTCGACCTTTGTGCTCGTCCATACTTAGGAAACTGGGGTCTTGCTCAGTTTGCTCACTATATGCTGAGCGAGCAGCCCCCAAGGACAGGAGAGACAAACCACCCAAAGGAGATACTCAAACGTCTCATGGTACAGCCCCTGCTCTGAGTGGGCAACAAAGAGTCACAAATGAAGGTAAGACCAGGACTGAATGCCACTTCATTAAATGGAAGGAAAGATTTTCTGAGCATGAATGATGGGTCATCACTAATGTCACACACAATATCATTGATATCACACACAAGCAAAGTTCTGCTGAAGATAATTCAAAAATGTTGTAGCAATACACTAACAGGGAACTGCCAGAAATTCAGGCTGGATTCAGAAGAGGACGTGGAATAAGGAATATCACTGCTGATATAAGATGGATCTTGCCTGAAAGCAGAGAACACTAGAAAGATGTTTATTTGTGGTTTGTTGACTATGAAAAGCATTCAACTGTATGGATCATAACAAATCATGGATAACACTGTGAAGAATGGGAATTACAGAACACTGAACTATACTCATGAGAAACCTGTACATAGACCAAGAAGCAGTCATTCAAACAGAACAAGGGGATACTGCATGGTTTAAAATCAAGAAAGTTGTGTGCCAGGGTTATATCCTTTCACTGAACAGGCTGAGAAAATAATCTGAGAAGCTGTACTATATGAAGAAGAATGTGGCATCAGGATTAGAGAAGAGCTTATTAACAACCTGTGACATGTAGACAACACAACCTTGTGTAGTGAAAGTGAAGAGGACTTGAAGCAATTATGATGAAGATAAAAGACTATAGCCTTTGGTATGGATTACACCTCAACATAAAGAAAACAAAAGTCCTCAAAACTGGACCAATAAGCAACATCATGATAAACAGAGAAAAGACTGAAGTCATCAAATATTTTCTTTTACTTGGATCCACAATCAACGCCCATGGAAACAGCAGTCAAGAAATCAAATGACATTGCATTGGGCAAATCTGCTGCAAAAGATCACTTTAAAGTGTTAAAAAGCAAAGATGTCACTTTGAGGACTAAGGTGTGCCTGACCCAAGCCATGGTATTTTCAGTCACCTCATATGCATGCAAAACCTGGACACGAATAAGGAAGACTGAAGAAGAATTGATGCATTTGAATTATGATGTTGGCGAAGAATATTCAATATGCCATGGACTGCCAGAAGACTGAACAAATCTGTCATGGAAGAAGTACAACCAGAATGCTCCTTAGAAACACGGATGGCGAGGCTTCTCATATACTTCGGACATGTTATCAGGAGGGATGAGTCCCTAGAGAAGGACATCATGCTTGGTGTGGTGGTTATGTTGTGTGTCAACTTCGCTGGGCCTGGGTGAGTGGCTGGGCAGCTGGTGGTACTTACTCCCCATGATGAGACTGGCAATCAACTCCATGGTGGGATCTACCACAGGCAGCTGAGTAGCTGCTTTAGGGATGTGGTCTGCTTCCCATGCATAAGCAGCAGCTTTGGGAATGGTCTCTAGCTTATGGCATGCTTGAACCCTGCATGTAGCTGAGTCGTTGTTCAGCAGCCTGCCATGTTCTGCTGATCTTGGGACTTTCAGTGGACTTGAATCAATGGCCTGCCATGTGGTTTGGTAACATCGGGACTGTGCCTTTTTACTTGTTGACCTTTGGTTGAAGCCCAAGGTTGAGGGGCTTTCACCCAACCCCTAGGGCCTGGCACTTTGAACTCAGACTTAAAGCCATCCCATTTGTGGTATATTCCTGTCAGAGCAGCACCAGGTAACCAAAACACTTGGTAAAGTAGAGGGTCAGTGAAAAAGAGCAAGACCCTCAAGATGAATTGACACAGCGGCTGCAACAACGGGCTCCAATACAGCAAGGACTGCGGGGATGGCACAGGCCCAGGCAGGGTTTCGTTCTGTTGCACAGGTCACTATGAGTCCCAACTAGCCCAGCACCTAATAACACCGCAACCAGGCTCATATCCAATTGAGAAATGCGTTACGTGGTGAAAATTCGTTTCAAATAGAAACGATGCTATACATGGTGATTAAAATTTATGATCCAGCTCAAAATATTTCCAACAAGAAATAGACTATATCCTGTATACTGCAGATCTCAACTTTCTTGTTGAAGGTTCACTGAGAAAATGCCATCTGAGTTCCAAGTAGGAATGCTACCTCGCCCTGCCCGAGAGGCTGCAGCTGGGCTGCCCTCGGTTCCAGGTCACCAGTCGAGGCTCCAGTGGGACAGAGACTCCAGCAAGGTGAAGCTGAGAGGGTTCCCAGCGTGATACCATTCGGGAGACCGTCAGACAGTTAACGTGGGGCCAGAGCATCCTGGATTCTGAACTAGGAAATTTAACTGCTTTTCTGAAAGTAATGACCACAGGGGTTGTGAGCCAGTAAAGTGCTATGATACCAGAGGTATTTGGAGATAACCCTGGCAAGTAGGGATAATAATTCAGAGGCTGCCCTAACAATTCAGATGTGAACGAGAAAAGGAAAACCAACTACCAGTCAGAAGTTGATACAGACCAGGGCTTGGCAACATTTTACTATAAAAGGTCAGACAGTAAATATTTCAGGCTGTCAGTCATTTGACTATTCAATTCTGTTCTTATAGTACACAAACAGGCACAGGCAATACATAAATGACTGGGTGTGGCTATGGATATGTTTCAATAAAATTTTATTTATACAACCAGGTAGTGACAGACACAGTTTGACTCACAGGCCATGGTTTGCCAACCCCTAATCTCAATGAACTTTAAGGTATTTCCCATCCTTGAAAACCTGTCAGACAATATAGATCAGAAGACAGATGGCAGCAATGCAAAGAGAAGGATCTGGGTGACTGATTGGAAAGGTAAGGTATGGGAGAGGTCAAAGCTGACCTGGAGGTTTCGGCTCAGGGTAAATGCACTTGAATGGAAGCGCCAGGAGAGAAAGCCAGCTTTGAAAGAAAGATGGTGCATTTCATTTCAGACATGTCAACTCCTTAAACAAAGAGTCTGGACATCGAGTGACTGAGTTAGAAACAACGGAATCTGAAGAATTTCACTGTGATGAGTAAAATGTCCGGGGTCAGAGCACTGAGGTTTCTAGCCACCGTTTCCTCTGCTGCCCAAGTGGGCCAGTGGAGAACGTGGGAGGCGACACACCCCTAAGGGTGGGGAGGCTTCTTGCCCACTCACCTGGTAGAGGAATCTTTGGCTGAAGTGTTGCATGGCCCCCTGGAGCTGATTGCGCTGCGACTGCCACTGCTCGTAGTTCCGCACGTACTCTGCTGTAGGGCGCTGCCAGGTGGTGGTCCGAGTGTTGTGGTCCACGTAATAAAACCTGCCTCGGGGGTCTGTACGTTTTTCCCAGCTGGAAACATTAAACTCAAGATTAATACAGTGACCACCCCAAACTCTAGAGAACGCTCAGGATGGCTGCCAAAGAAGGCCCAAGGGAGGGCAAAGCTGTGTGTCTGGCGTGGCAGTGCGGCTGCTCCAGGGAGGCACAGCCAAGCGGGCGCCAACCATGGAGGCTCCGGAGCTCATATGTCAGACAACCAATGTCCCCAGCTCCTGCTTCCCATTTAGAGATCCGTGTGGTTCTGGGGAAGCTGGCTCTCCTCCCATCCCCAGAGCTGACCTGTTGATTAGACCAGAGGTGGGCATATGACCTACGCTGGGACAACTGGTGAATCTAGGACTTCTGCTGAGAACTCTGGAAAACAAATAATCTTTTCCTTGCTGGGTATGGCTGAGAAAGCACGCAGTCCTGGGAGCCACTGGCTGAGAAAACACACGGTCCTGGGAGCTGCTGGCTGACATCTTGGACTCAAATGTTGTTGTTATGTCCCGTCAAGTCGGACCCAACTTATAGCAACCCCTCCTTGGGTTTCCAAGGCGGTATCACTATGGAAGTAGATTGCCCAACCTTCCTTCCGAGGAGTGGCTGGTGGGTTTGAACCGCCAGCCTTCTGGTTAGCAGTCAAGTGTCTTAGGTACTATGCTACCAGAGGACTCAAATACAATATTAAATTGACCTAGTGGACAAAGGAGCAGGAAAATGGAAAAAAGCTCCCCTAGGGATATTGTTAAGTCACTAGATCAAGCTTTACTTGAAACCAGGATCTACATCTACAAATTTCAGTTATATGAGCCAGTAACTTCCCTTTGTTATTTAAGCCAAGTCAGATCCAGTTTTTTTGTTACCTGCAACTGAAATTACCCTGATATAAAGTGCCAATGATTACATGTTGTGTGGTTATGAAAAAAAGAGTTGGTCTAAAAAACAGCAAGACTGTCCACATAATCTTTAGTGAGGATGCAATCTTTTCAAAGTTAGTCCTAAAACACCCATGGCTAAGGCAGGGCCAGGACTGGAAGTAAAAAATCTTCAGCTGTGCTTGGTAAGTGTAACTTGATTTCCACACACACAGGGAAGAAGTAATCAAACAAAAGTAAGAAAAGGAATTTCTGGGGTGACAGAAGTGTGCCACATCTTGATAGGCTGTGGGTTACAGTAACGTATGCATTTGTCAAAACTCAGCAAACTACAAAACTGAGATCTGTGCATCTCTCTGTAAGTAAATTATACAACAGAAAAAAAAAAGTGTCGAATTTAACCAGCCTCCATATCTAGCTACCAGTTAGATACAGGAAAGACAAGGCACGGGCCAGAGGAAGAAGGCCACAATCAGCCACAACCAGAAGAGGAGGAACTCTACACGCAAACTGCTCAGGTTCTTCAACAAATCAGTGATGTGAAGAGAGTAAGAAAGGGAGGGGGAGTTTACAGATTAGAGGGATCTAAAAGCAATGTGTTGACCTTGGATTTGGATCTGATTCAAATAAAGTGTAAAAATATGTTAAAGACAATTGGCAAACACAGAACATGCACTGGGTACAACATGACAGTATGGAAATACTGTTAATTTTGTTGAGTGGGTAATGGTATTGTGGTTTAATTAAAAAAAAAAAAAAAAAAAAAACCTCATCTGTTACACATCTATTAGAGATGTACGTGATGTACTTACGGGTCAGAGGCCACGGTACCTAGAATTTGCTTTAAAATACAGCAGCCTCTCTACCTAAAAGTGGGAGATCTGATGAAACAAAATGTTATTAATTGTTAAAACCAGATGACAGTTACAAGGGATTCATTGTACTGTTTGGTGCATGCTTGAAATTTTCCATTTTAAATTTGAGAGAAAGTAAGAAAACAAACTGAAGAAAAGAGAACTAACACAGTGCAAAAGGAATCCAGTAAGGATTATAGCATATGATCCTGAATGTTAAGAGTATCTTTGTTCCCTAACTTCCTTCTCATTTCATCTCCTTTGAATTCTTATGTTGCTTGGCTATTGTGCCTCAGTCTGGTAACTTCTTCTATTTTCTGAGTTAGCCTCCTACCTGACCTTTTAGCCACCTCTTCAACGGCCCTTTCCAACTCAACACCTCCCCAAAAGTGGCTTCTCCTCAACTAGTTCCTGTACCCACGGTCAACTCGCAGATTTAGTCTGCATGTGGCCTGCAAGACTGCCTTACCTTCATGATCTGTCACGCACGATTCAACTAAACATCACAGCTCTCCCCTAAACCTCAAATTTTTTTTTCCCCAGGCTACCTCATGTTGAATACCAAAGAAGAACTGATGCATCTGAATTATGGTGCTGGCAAAGAATACCAAATATACCGTCAGGAGAATGGATACTAAATATACTGTCAGGAGAATGACTGAATCTGTCTCAGAAGAAGTACAGCCAGAACACTCCTTAGAAGCAAGAATGGCGAGACTTGGTCTTACGTACTTGGGACGTGTTATCAGGAGGGTCCAGTCCCTAGAGAAGGATGCCATGCTAGGTAAGGTAGAGAGTCAGTGAAAAAGAGGAAGACCCTCAATGAGACAGACTGACACAGAGGCTGCAAGAATGGGCTCAAACACAGCAGTAATTGCGAGGATGGTGCAGAAATGCGCAGTGTTTCGTTCTTCTGCACACAGGGCTCCTATGAGTTGGAATTGACTCACCGGCACCTAATGGCACCACCTTATGTCAGTTATCCTCCCAGTATGAAACTGTACTATGTTTTCTGACTCAAATGCCTTTCCTGCTAACGTCAGTAAGTCACCCAGCTCAGATGCTTCCTTCTTGTGGTCTCCCTATCCTTGGCCTTCCGTTTCTATGTCTATGTCTGTATCATCTCAAACCTGAACTACTACAACAGTGTCTGAACTACCAGACATTCCAACCCAGCCTAGAAGAATAACCATAAAAGAAAGTAAATTTGCTCTGTAAACTTCCACCTAAATCACAATAAAAATTTTAAAAAGAATAGAAGAACCATAAGAGATTGACCTCTTACCAGATGTTCCTGATCAAAACTTTGACTGGCTCCCCACCACCCTTGAGTCAAAATTCTTTAGGGCTTACAATAACCTTGACCCTTCCCACCTTTCTCACTACCCCTCCAAATAACTATTTATTTATTTATTTTTAAATTTTATCATATAAATCATGTATATGTAAGTGCAAAAGTTAAATAGTGCTGCCTAGTATCAAAGTTCAACAAGACAGAAAATAACAAATGCTGGCAAGGTTGTGGAGAGATTGGGA